TGATGCGGGGCTTGATCTCATGACCATGAGATCATGACCTGAGCAGATATCAAGAGCCGGATGCCCAACTGACTGAGCCACCTAGACGCTCTGAGAGGGACGAATCTGAATGACTACCCAGAAGTAGGGTGGGAAAGGGAGGAGAGGAACAGGGCAGCTGCTGGGGGCTCGGGTCAGTATCCATTAGCAATGCCTCATGGGACACTGGGAGAAGGAAGGAACCTGGCTCCCCAGACCCACTTCTTTCTCAGCCTCCCACTCTTTGCAGTTCCTGACAGTGGGCTGGCCTCCACCTTAGCCTCTTGGATAACTCACCCACTGGTCTGGAGTAATGTCCTGGCAGCTGACCACCACCCCGGCCAGTGTCAGAAGGCTGTGGCACAGGTAGCAGACCTGGGAAGAACAGAGAGAGACAGGCTTCCCTAACTCCGTCCCCTCCAGACTCCTTGTTCTCAGGCCCAGCGGCTGAGGACAGGGACTCAGCCCACCACTGGGCTTCCACCGACAGTTTCCAAGGAGGTGTCTCTAAGGAGGGCTATAGACCCACTCACTCAGAACTCTTCCTCTGATGAATGACTATCCTCCCTTCATTCAGAAAAAGGAGAAATCTAATCTCTGCCATCTAGAAACCCATAAGGTCACACAGCCCTGTCCCGGGAGCCCAGCATGCTGGGGACCTGTCCACTCTGACCTCTGCCTGGTATCTGTGGTCCTGCTCTGTTCGCTGAGGCACCCACCCATGCCAGATGCCACTATTCTCTATGTGAGGACATGGCCCCTAGGTGTCCAGCTTGTCCCTCGGCAGGACACCACTTGCACAGACAGACGTGGAGCCCTGTCTGGACAGTCAAACCATGTCGACCTGAGGAGAAGAGAGGCAAATGGGAGACAGCTTTGGTTTAGCATCTGCACACTTTATCCTCCAACTCATATCCTTGCTCTTGCCCCCTGGACACTTGGGAGGGGGGATGTGCAAACAGAACAAAGGCCAATTCCATCAGATCAGGGAATGGTTTGATTCCTGGATGCCCCTGGACTCTGTCGCTGCCCATTCACTTATGGGACGTTCATCTGCTGTGCAGACCAAGTGAGGCGCAGGGAGGACCCTCAAAGACAGGTGTGGCTTCTGACCTGAAACACAGCCTGCTCCTTGTGCTCTGAACTCCTCTCTGTGGGCACTCCCCTCCTCCACTCAGAGGTGCCTGTTGCCTTGTCCCCTTTAGACTCCTATGTCTAAGATAGGGAGGGTGGCAGGAAACAACCCCACCGTTGTGCCCGTGGCCGATAACTAGCTCTGAGGCTGAGCTGGGATGGGAGAGGCGAGCTCCAGAGACAGCCAGCAGGGTTTAAGCATGGTGATAACAGGGCTAGAGCTTAGAACCAGCCCAAGCCTCCCCTGTGCCCCCACTTTCTCTGCCTATACCGTCCTCCTCTCTTAGAGTATCTGGAGATGCCCCAGAAACAGCAGTGGCCACTCTGCACAGACCCAATAGCCTCCTTAGGGCAGAAGCCAGAACCACTTTTGAGGGCACCAGACCTGACACTATGGAGTATCGTCTTGTTGAACTCAAATACTACTCTGCAAAATCCTGAGAAGGGAAGCCACCTACCCCCACCCTGGACCCAGCCTACTCTTCAGCGCGACAGCTGAGGCCCACAGGTGGTGTGACCCCACAGTCTGGCCAGGTTGGGCTACAACACACCCCGCAGGCAGGGAGAAGACGCAGTGGGGAAAGCCAAGGGGAGCGCCGGTGTGCCTTCCGGGCAGTGCTGCCCCAGGTTGGGCAAGATCCAGTTTCTGAGCCAGCTGCTCCTGTCAGGTCCTGCAGCTGCCCGTACCCAAATCCCCCAGCTGGGCTGGCGTGTCAGTGAGCTGGCTCGCTGGCAAGCTGCTCCTTCCCCCAAGCTCCCCTTCCCCAGCCTGTCCTGGCCTTAAGAAGGTCCACAGCATTCAGAACATTCAGAACCCTAACGCCTCAGTCCTCGCAAAAAGCTCAGGCCGCCCCCACTGCCCCAGAAAGCAGGCACAAGTCTGTATGCCAGACACTGTGCCTTGACTAAGACACAGCCACAAACACTTAGACATTAGAAAAAGATACTTCAGAGGCACCCGGGTGGCTCAGTGGTTAAGCATCTGACTTCGGTTCAGGTTATGATCTCCTGGTCTGTGGGCTCAAGCCCTGCGTTGACCTCTGTGCTGACACCTCTGAGCCTGGAGTCTGCTTTCCATTCTGTATCTCCCTCTCTCTCTGCCCCTCCCCCCCCCCTCTCTCTCTCTCTCTCTCTCTCTCTCTCTCTCAAAAATAAAAAACATTAAAAAGAAAAGAAAAGAAAAAGATACTTCAGGAAGGCAATCATTTGGTCAACAAATACTAAATCTTAGCTTCCCCATGGACCAAAAGGAGAAAGTGTCCTTCTAGGTTTTTTTGGTGGGGGAGGGGGTGATATGCAGCTCAGAAGGCTTCAGGGAGGAAGTGACTAAGCTAGGCCAGGCCTCAAAGGAACAGCAGGATCTGAGGTGAAGATGGCCCTGTTAAGGGTGGTGGCTGGGCTAAGATTACAACACCAGACAGATCCTAGGGCTGATTCAAGAAACAGAGGCAGGGCACATTGGGGGACTGACCATCAGGTGGCTGGCTGGGTTGCAGCAGAGGGGATGGAGGGAACATCCTGAAGACAGGCCTGGCCCCAGACAGCCTAGACAGTGAGCAGTGGAGGCCATTCGAGGCTCTTGAGCAGAGAGGTTGGGTTGTGCGAACAGACGGCCCCCAACCCCACCAGGGAAGGAGGCACCAGAATCAGTTTTGATGGAATTCACTAGAGTGAAAATGTGGCTCTCTCTGACAGGATTATAGGATGTGAGAAATAAGTCCACCAACCCAATCAAAAGAGGAACAGAGGAATGTGGAGACTTGGAGCACAGTGAAGTGAGGCTTTAATCAACGTTCTTGCAAGAGCAAGTGTTTGATGGACAGGCACACTCGGGGCAGTTAGAGCAGACAATTCATCTCCTAGCGTGCAAGTCCCTCCCCTGGTTGCTCATTGGCTGAGTACTACAGAGGTTACAGCCTTACCCGGATGTCACCTATGCTCGTGTAAGGCACAAAGTAGTCTGATTGGAACAAATGTATGTTCCTTGAGGTGATGCAGAGACTTTCAGTCCCTCTTCTCTTTGTTCCCTGGAGCATGTTCATTGCAAAGCCCGCGAAAATAAGCCTGCAAAATGGAGAGGGGAATAACCTGAAAGTGTCTAAGGGTTTGGGACTCCATTGTTGGAGGGTTGGCGGCAGGGGGTGGGGGTGGGGGGGGGTTCGTACATATTTCCAATAGGTTGTAAACCTACTGTTAACCAGTCAGCACAGCTTTTATTTGGTATTTCTGAAAATGAATCATCTCCCTTACTTCTCACATAGGACACCCTTTATCTTTTCTTTTCTAGGGTTATTTTTCTACAATGTGGGTGCTTTATTCGGATAACCCAAATACAATTAAAGTTTTTAAAAATTAATTTTAAAGAAGACAATACCAGTTATTATTGATTGAGCCTATTGGGTTTAGGGTAGGTGTGGGGGCAAGGGAGAAAGACATGACCCTGAAAAAGCAGTGCTCTTAGCACGGGGGCCCCTCTTTGAGAGGGCACTGAACAAACTGCTAGTGAGAGGTGGTAGGAGTTGCCAAGAAAATACCCAAGGGCCACAGAGCCATGGGTTGGTCAGAGGAAGGCCGGGAAAGACGCCTATCTGAGTGATCTTTGCATTTCAGAGGCCCCTGTGCTGTGTACAAAGCCCTGGGCTAAAAGGGATCTTGGAGCCACTCTGGAATTGGTACAGAGGCCAGTCTCTGTCCCTGGAGGTTTCAGGCAATCTTGCTCCCCCTCATCCACCCCCCCACCCAAAGAATCTATCTTCTGGGAGGGAGGCAGGGTGAGGGTGGGTCCAGGATCTGAGGAATGCCCTGGAGGAAAGTCTGTGCTGTGGGGGATTTACTGAGAGAAAAACGCTGCTTGGGACTAAGTGTGTGTGGGTTTCACAACTTGATTCTTAGGCTGATTCCCATCATTGAATCTAGAGGGAAAATCCCAGGAAAACTATTCTGAATGTGTGTTTGGGGGGTGGGGTGGCGAATAACAAGAAGGAAATGGTAGTCCTGAAGATAGGACCCTGTTTACCACATTTTATAAGCTGATTTCCCAAATCGGGAAGAAAACCTTGCCCACTACCTACAAGGAGGGCTGAGTGCATATCTTCCTTACACTTAGGGGTGATCCCTTGAGGGGAGGCCCTTCAAGGAAGACTTTGATCCAACCTAAGGGGAGGTGATTCAACGGGTGCACAGAAATCACCACAAAGACAGCAGTTTTTATAGTTGTACTTTTGGGAAAGAAAGGTTTCATACTGCATGGGAAGCATCCAGCCCATCTGGTCCTCTCCCTTTCCTGAGACACCCCCCCACCTCCGCCGTGACCCCGGCATTGAGGAGAGGTAAGAGACAAAAAGAGCTCATCTAGAAAAAGGGAAAAGGGAAAAAGGTGGCACTGAGAGCATGCATAGCTTCTTCTGAACCCCACCCTTCCCAGACTCTTCTCCCTTGCTCCGTTTTGTGAAGGTTCCAGGAGCAGACATTAGCAGAAACTGGGGCTCTGGCTAGGTGGGGGCTGCACCTGAGCCTCCTTCCTCTGAGAGGCAGGCCCTGGGCACCAGCAGAGGTGGGGAGGGCAGGCCATTCTCTGGAGGACGCAGAGTAAACAGCCAGGTGTGGGAGTTATGTTTCCTGCTCCAGTCACACCGTGGCCAGCTCCTGAACTTAGCAAGCCTGTTCCTGTCCTGGCTGGCACCACGGAGACATGGGGCTGTCTTCCCTTTCAAGACACAGGGAAGGGAAGTTGGGCCTGGGCCATGCAGCAGCTGGGCTGGTACATGGAGAAGCCAAGGTCCCCTGCCTTCTCCCATTTCCTCCACAGCTGGAAACGCAAGGTGGCCCTTTCCTCAGCCTGAGGCACTTCCAAGTCCCTTAGTGTGTGTGTGTGTGTGTGTGTGTGTGTGTGTGTGTGTGTGTGTGTGTGTGTCTGGAGGGGGTAGAAGTCAGTGTGGCTTCAGGGTTAAAGGGCAGTGCAGAGACACTCCTTGGGGTGGGGGTGGGAGGTGCTATGCTTCTCCAGCCTTCAGGATGTGGTCTGAAGAATGGGCCCTCACCAGCTCAGGTGGCACAGCTCCTCCCCCACTGGGTGTCAGTGGAGGCTGGGAAGTCCCTATGGAAAATGAAGCCTAGGGAAACCTCAGTCAGCAAGTTGGGGAAAAGTAGAGTCTGAGGGTAAGGAGTGGGACGTGCCTGAACCCAATGTGGACAAGACGAGACTGTCCCCTGCCAGTGAGGCCTTTAGCTTTCATTTTCTG